CGCGAGGGCCGGGCGGGGGCCGGGCTCGGGCCTGGTGGACGCTCAGCGCGCGCGGAGGAGCAGGAGGAGGAGGCGGCGGAGGAGGAGGCGGAGGCGGCGGCGCCACCCGGGGTCGGGCTCGCGGAGGCGGAGGCGGATGGGGACGGGGGGAGAGGCGGCTCGTTCCCTTGCTGGGGCCACGCGGAGGAGGAGGAGGCGGACCGGCGGCGGCGGAGGCAGCAGCGGCGGCAGCAGCAGCGCGGGAGGATTCCCTGCAAGCAGAAAGCCAGCGCCTCAAGGTCCGGGCGGGCTCTCTCCCTGCATGCGCCGCTTCCCGCTTTCGGTTTGGCCCGCGTGGGTGGGGTGGGGGGTGGAGCAGTGTTGCCTCCAATGTTCCCTCCAAGCTGAGTTAGTGTGAGCCAGCTCACAGTTTTTTAGCCTCCGGCGCACACATTTTTGTCCCCGCTCAGGAAGGAGGGCTCCAGAGCAGTGCTCCCTCTAAGCTGAGTTAGTGCGAGCTAGCTCACAGTTTTTTAGCCTCCGGCGCACACATTTTTGTCTCCGCTCAGGAAGGATGGGGCTCCAGAGCAGTGCTCCCTCTAAGCTGAGTTTAGTGTGAGCCAGCTCACAGTTTTTTAGCCTCCGGCTCACACATTTTTGTCTCCACTCAGGAAGGGATGGCTCCAGAGCAAACTAGCTTATGCAGCGGCCGAATCGCTCGCTCACAACTTGAATGCCAGTAGCTCACAAAGTAGAATTTTTGCTCACAAGACTCCAAAGCTTAGAGGGAACATTGGTTGCCTCTAAGCTGAGTTTAGTGTGAGCCGGCTCACTGTTCTTTGGCCTCCGGCTCGCCCATTTTTGTCTCCGCTCAGGGAGGATGGGGCTCCAGAGCAAACTGATTGATGCAGCAAGCCAGATCGCTCGCCCACAGTTTTAATGCCAGCGGCTCACAAAGTCGAACTTTTGCTCTCGGGGCTCCACGGCTTAGAGGGAGCATTGCTTGCAACCAGTGTTCCCTCTAAGCTGAGCTTAGTGTGAGCAAGCTGACCGCTCTTTAGCCTCCTGCTCGCAGATTTTTTGCCTGAGCTCGGGAAGGAGGGCTCCAGAGCAAGCTGGTTGATGCAGCAGTAGCTCACAAAAGTAGGATTTTTGCTCACGGGACTCCACAGAGGAAGCATTGCTTGCAACCGGTGTTCCCTCCAAACTGAGTATAGTGTGAGCCAGCTCACAGTTTTTTAGCCTCTGGCTCACACATTTTCCTCTTAGCTCAGGAAGGAGGGCTCCGGAGCAAACTAATTCATGCAGTAGCCAAATGACTTACTCACAACTTTAATGCCAGCGGCTCACAAAGTCGAATTTTTGCTCTCGGGGCTCCACAGCTTAGAGGAAGCATTGCTTGCAACCAGTGTTCCCTCTAAGCTGAGTTTAGTGTGAGCCAGCTCACAGTTCTTTAGTCTCCAGCTCGCAGATTTTTTGCCTGAGCTCGGGAAGGAGGGCTCCAGAGCAAGCTGATTGATGCAGTGGCCAAATCGCTCGCTTTACAAACAATGCTGGTCGCTCACAAAAGTAGAATTTTTGCTCACAGGACTCCACAGCTTACCTCGAATGAGCCTTTGCAGGCAGAGGCTCCTGTTGCCAGCTTGTGGGGCTGGGGGAATCCCTGGAGATTTGGGGTGAGGGGGGCCTGAGGAGAAGGGATGTCAGCCGGGTATAAGCCAATGCTCTCTCTAAGCTGTGGAGTCCTGAGAGCAGAAATTCTACATGACCTACTCTGGCATTAAAAGTTGTGAGCAAGCGATTTGTGTACTGCATAAATCAGTTTCCTTTGGAGCCCTCCTTCCTGAGCTAAGACAAAAATTGGTGAGCTGGAGGCTAAAAAACTAACTCAGCTTAGAGCGAACACTAGTTGTAAGCAATGCACCCTCTAAGCTGTGGAGTCTTGTGAGCAAAAATTCGACTTTGTGAGCCGCTGGCATTAAAGCTGCGAACGAGGGGTTTGGCCGCTGTGTAAATTAGTTTGCTTTGGAGCCCTCCTTCCTGAGCAAAGGCAAAAACCTGTGAGCTGGAGGCTCAAGAACTGTGAGCTAGTTCACACTAACTCAGCTTAGAGGGAACATTGGTGGGGGAATTTGGGGGGGAGCCTGAGGAGGAGGGACCTCAGCGGGTTGTAATCAGCTGTTTCTTCCGGGGTGGGACTGGCCTCTGTAACCTGCAGGCCAGTTGTAATTCTGGGAGATCTTCAGGCTCCACCTGGAGGTTGGCAACTGTTCTCAGTTGGGAGATTCCTGTAGGATATGCTGGAGAGCATGGGCTTTGCGGGCTTTAGCCGGGTATAATTGCATAGATTCCACCCCCACCCCATATTCTCCAGGGGAACGGATTACTGCACTCTGGAGATAAATTGTGATTCTAGGATATCTTCGGGCCCCACCTGTAGGTTGGCAGCTGTTCTCGGTTGGGAGATTAGGATATCCTGGAGAGCGTGGGCTTTGGGGACTTTTGCAGGGTATAATTGCACAGAATTCACGCCTCCTAAACCAGACATATTGTTTAAGTAGAGCTGGTTACTGTACCCTGGAGATAAATTGTAGTTCTAGGAAATCTCCAGGCTCCACCTGGAGGTTGGCAGCTCTCGGCTTTCAGATTTTGGGACATGACAGGTGTATGGCTTTTGGATGCGTCATTTTCAACTTGAGAAAAAGTTTTGTCGAGCATCTTCCCTTGATTTGCCGCTTCTACCGCGTGTGACAAACGTTGTGGCTTGATGTAGAAAAACTGGAAAACACAATCCGCCTGCCGTGATGTGAGAGTTGTGTTTTGGTGTGTCTCATTTTAAGGGATCACCTGTAGAACATGTCTCGGACCTTGCCTGCAGATTACAGCACTCGGTGATGTTGTGCTCCAGGCAGTTGTGTGGGGAGATGATTTAATTTTTTCCTTTAGTACTTCCTTATTTGAAAAAATCCTCAGTGTGCTAGCACTCTAGGAAAACGGTGCCGTGCATTCCCTGTGGAACCTGTTCTCTCCTTGTGATAAAGTCTTTTGCGCATGCAAAATGTCATTCGTCTCCCTCAAGTGGTACAGTCCTTTCTCCTACCTCATTGACTCTGCTTGAGGAACGTGCTTTCCAGCCCTAGACTAAGGTGGTCGAAGCCATTGTTTCCTCTAAGCTGGGTTAGTGTGAGCCAGCTCACAGTTTTTTAGCCTCCGGTTCGCAGGTTTTTTTTTTTTCTTAGCTCAGGAAGGATGGCTCCAGAATGGTGTTCCCTCTAAGCTGAGTTTAGTGTGAATCACAATTTAGAGTTCACAGTTTTTTAGCCTCCAGCTCACACATTTTTGTCTCTTAGCTCAGGAAGGATGGCTCCAGAGCAAACTAATGTATGCAGCAGCCAAGTCGCTCATTCACAGCTTAGAGGGGGGAGTATTGGTAGAAGCCCGTATAATTTCACACTGCAAATGGTGGTGGGGTAATATTTCTTGAATTCTAACCTCCGAGTTGTGAAAAAAGTAGACCGTAGATATAAAATAGCACAATGGTCACCTCCCCATAACCACCCTTCAGTCTAAAGTGGCACACTCCCGCGTGTTACCCGAGTGCCATGCTCTTGAAAATCTGGGTTTCAGCACACAGGGAGTCCTCATAAAAGCCTATTCAAAAATAGAATTCCATCACCTGAAATAAAGTTGTCACCTTGGTCAGTCCAGAACGGGCACACCTGAGATGACATCTCAGACATGGTTTTCTATGAGCAGCAGAATAAAATGAAAAAGTCCCCTGGGTGGGAGGTCACAGCATGTATCCTGCCAGTCCATTCGGCTGACACGGAAGCCTTATAGAAATGACTATTCCGCGGGAGGAAAAAGTTCTTCCATTGGAGCAAGGGTTCATAGGTTGGGGGAAAAGGCGCTTCAGACTTTGCTGAGCTGAGTAGTAAGGATCTAAGCCCTTATTTCGAAAAATCCTCTATATAAAAGAAAACGTGAAAAATGAATCTAGCACAGATTTTGTCCTGCCGTGCTTTTTGTGTATGTGTGCGTAGTGGTTAAGAGTGTGGACTCTAATCTGGGAGAACCGGGTTTGATTCCCCAGTCCTCCACATGCAGCTGCTGGTGTGACCTTGGGTCAGTCACAAGTTCTCTCAGAGCTGTTCTCTCATGAGCAATTCTGGAAAGAGCTCTCTCAGCCCCACCCACCTCACAGGGTGTCTGTTGTGGGGTGGGGAAGGGAAAGGAGATTGTAAGCCGTTCTGAGACTCTGAGTGAAGGGCGGGGTATAAATCCAATCTCCTCTTCTTCTTTTAATGTGAAGTGATAGATTCAAAGTAGTCACTCTGCTCCAGCGAAAATCCTTGTGGAATCTGTTATCAGATTTTTCGGTTCTCCTGACTTTTTGGATATTTACGGAAGGGACGGAGAAAAAGAGAAAAAAAGAGAGAGAAAAAGAAAGTTGTTTCAGGCTCTTGAAGCCATTATCCGGTTCCTTTTAAGAGAGTCCTGTAGACTTTTGTATCTGGATTCAAGGTGCAGCTGTTATCTGGTAGCCACGGCCTTGAGGGTAAGAAGGCAGTGAGAACAATTACAGCCTCCATTGCGAATATGCAAACCGGGAGTTCATCATATGCCCCTTAATCAACAGAAGGCATATATGAGTCCCTAAAAAGTCCAAGAGCAGATGAAAAACATGGTCGACTTTAAGTGAATATTATTTGAAATTAATTGTGGGGACTAGGTTGAGATGGTGGAAGCTAGATTGAGTATCGTTCACTGGCCAGTAGTCTTTTCCCAGATCGTTATTTTAAAACTGAAGAATCTTGCTCTGTATGCTAAATTCAAGTTATTTTCACTGTAAATAGAAGTTCTAAGGAGCAGTTTTGGCTCAAAGAGAAATCCAAGCAGAAAACTGTGGTAGTCAATTCTCCCTCTAGGCTGTGGCGTCTTATGAGCAAAAATTCAACTTTGTGAGCTCCCGGCATTAAAGTTATGAGCAAGCGATTCAGCTGCGGCATAAATTAGCTTGCCCCGGAGCCCTCCTTCCCGAGCTATGACAAAAATGTGTGAGCCGGAGGCTAATAAACTGTCAGCTAGCTCACACTAAACTCAGCTTAGAGGGAACACTGACACGTTTTCAGTATGTCAGCGTGGGTGTCTTGAGGGTCGGGTCATGGTATTGAGACCATTAGTGTGCTCCTACCAAGGGTGACTTATCCTGACTGCACTGTTCCCAACATTACTCTCCGGTGATTGCAAGATTGGGGCCTAAAACTCCTGCGTGTTATCGTACGACCTGATGAAAAGC